CTGCCATCTATAAACCTTTGAGTATGGAGAAGAGATTGGGTCAACCCTGATGAGTAGTCCTCTTACACATTTCTGGTAAGAAAACAGTAATGGTATTATTCATCGTAGAGCAATTTTGCACCAGTATAGGGTTCAGATGTTTTAAATGTCACATGGTTGCTTAGTTTTTTTTCATCACAATACTGTTGGAGCTCACTTGATAGGCACGGAAGAAAATTACAGTTTGTATATTAATTTTAAAGGAATGTGGCAGAATAATAAATTAAAAACTTTTGTTTTTTCATTTTAAAATGTTAGGAAGAGAGGCCTAGGGTTAAAGCAGTGCATCCTTTGAAATAGACTTTTATTTTTTGAAATTAAACTAATAGCATCCATCCCCAATAAGCTTGCTTATTTGTAGACAGTACCAAAACAAATCCAGGTGTTAAATCTATTAGTTTCAGTCCTGCTTAGGTCTTTATGCTCCTTGTTTGAAGACTTGAATGGAAAGAAATGACAAATACCAGTTTATCAGGACTAAAAGAACAAGCAGGACTGAAACTCACAGATTTAATTCTGTCTAGGCTTGTTCTGTTGCTGTCATCACACAGTCTTGTAGCTTTCCAATGGCTTTCAGCCTCAGTACATATCCTGTAAAAGGTGAACTAAGCAATTAACTTAAAAAAAATTGGCTGTTTGTTAGTGGCCCTCCTAAAAGATCCTGCTTTAAGAAGGCATTGACATGAATCTACAGGTACCTTCCATAGTTGACCATCTTTTTGTCAGGGCTTCTGTAATAAAATGGGAGAGTTTCTTTTCATAAATATATTTGGTCTGTTATTGATGGCTGGAGAAAAGTTAAAATAAGCAGCTACCTTTTAATTGTAAATCACAGCAAGCAGTAGAAGCATTTCACAGTGCAGAACTCTAACTGAATTGAATAACAAAATGATATCCATGAACCAGTCTGCTTCTCTGTCATTTTCTCTTTCAATTTCTACAGTTTATATGAAGAGTCTTTTACATACCCTAGGGGATGCATATCATCTTGTAATTTTTTCCACTTACAGAATTTCTTCTTTTTTTTTCATATCACAAAAGATTTCATTGATAAGTAATTCTCTAGACTGAATATAAGACATCAACACGTGCAAGTTTTTAATCTTTTCTGCAGCAAACTTGGTTGACTACTTTGGTTGACTCGGGCTTAAAATTGGCAAAGCATCATTTTTTACATTACTTGTGTGGAGATAGTTAGGAGATCTGTTTGCATACTATGCAGATCTGATATCACATAGCTTTCCAAGAATGGCACCAATGTAGAATGAATGGATTGATAAACTATTTAAATAAGTGGCAAATATGTAATATTATTTTATAAAAAAGGAATGCAGGAATCATGGTTTCAACATCAACAGATAAATATATTGGAATAGGTTGAGTGGCTAATTAAATTTGAGATTAAAATAAAGTCGCCTTCCTTTGGTACTATATCCTTATCAGTTGTGCCTTCTCTCCTTCCTTTTGTTAAATCAGAGACAACAGGAGTGAAAAAGACGCATTAAGTGATCTGATCCATCTCCCTCTAGGTGCAGGCTTGGTCTTGCAATGTAATATCAAAAATATGCACACAAATTGCACAAGTCCTAAGCTAAGCATGCTGCTTTGGGGGTATCTGTTCAGCTGCCCGATAACAAAATACCTTCAAGAATTTTTTAAGCAAATATTTACTTTTTAGTTGCATCCTGCTATTCTTGTATGTAACCTTTGGTCAGGTCTAAACCATTCCCCTATCCTGGATATTTTCATTCCTTCATATTCCTGTTGATTATGAAATATCCCTCAGTTTAGCACCTCATGCCTTCCACTACACCTTAAAACAACATACCAAGCAATCAGTACCTCCCAGTTACCTTCTTTCCTGTTCCTAGTTGTTTCCCCACCAAATTCAATTAACAAGACTTGGATTTGTTTGTTTCTCCTAGGATGTTAAGTAAGGCATTAGCTGTGCGTGTGTGTGCAGTGCAGTTAGAAACCCCTCCTGCAGTCACACAGGTAGCACCTCTCCCCTGTGTAGGTGTGGCAGTGCCTAGCCAAGCCTTGCAAGCAGTCACGGCAGGGGTAGGGCTTGCTGTGGGCACACCAGTATTTGAGCATGTTGGAGTTGAGGTGGAAGTTCTTCCCACATTCACGGCACGCATAGAGGTGCTCCTGGCTGTGGGTGTGGTGGTGTCATGCTAGATTCGAGCTCTAGCTGGTGCCCCTCCTGACTGGGCACGCATAGGGCCGCTGAAGTACATTCATGGGTGGGTGGTGAGGGTGGCACTCAAGACAAAGTGTTTCTGCATGTGTTGCATGCATAAGATTTCTTTCCCATTTGAGCTTTTGGGTGCTTAGCAATGCCTGAGCTTCTCTGCATCTTGGCTTAAAACCCTCTGACTTCTTTGAAGAAAGCTACCCAAGGGACAGCTTGGTCTTTGAGGCTCTTGAAGTTTCATCCATGGGGAGCAGATTTAGCCAGCTGCTTTTCTGGGTTCTTACTCTCAAGAGCTCTTTTCCTTTTCATGACACTAGGAAGTGTTTTGTCGTGGCTCCACTACAGATGTCCCATCTGGTTCTATTTCAGAGCTTTTCATCTGAAGATCTTGTGCACTCACTCAGGAGCTGAACATCTGCTGGAATAAAGAGAGTCCAGGCTTGCATCATTCATTCTCTGGGCTTGGGAGAAAAGAAGCTGCAGAGTTTGTCACAAAGTTTGACTTCGTTTGTTAAGACTGAAACTCAGGAGCTAATTTCTTCTAAATGTCATCTGCAGGGAAAGACCATTGGAGCCCCAGCCTCCCATCTGTGCAGTTCTAGAATAGGCAAGTATGGGGATACCTGCTGGCTCTCAGGGAGATCTGTGATGGATAGAAGAGAACAGCTGTCTAATGGTATAGACTCTGAAGCTCAAACATAGGAGCCCCGTATAGCTCAGTGGGACTTTGGGTTTTTTTTCATTTGTACATGATTTTTAACTTATCTTCCTCATCTGTAGCTATAACTCTGGGCCTTACTGTCCTGTGCTTGCTGGGATATGATCATCACCGTTTTTCATGCAGGTGATCATATCAAGTTGTGGAATCAAAGTCAATAGGAAGGCAGTGGCTGCTCAAGGGAAGCAAAACAGGAAACAATCGGGGGTTGTTACAAAACCTTTTCTGTTATTTTGACCCCAATCTGTCTTTGTTGGGAGGGTCAGTTGGTGTCACAGGGGGTTTGGGGAAGTCACAGTTCTGTTGGGAGATGTACCTGTGGATGAGACTCCTGGCCACCCACAAGCTTGGCCTTGGTGCTTCAGTTCTGCCTGAGTATTAAGCACTCGCCCCCCCGCCCCCCTCCTTTGGGAGAATGAAACCTATTGCAGGGAGGGGAGAAAGAGGGAGATAATTTGCATGTGTCAATAGCCACCAACAAGGTACATGTTCTTTCCATGTCTCTTTTCATATTGCAAGCAGTAGGGATGGGGAAATTAGTTTTGCCATTGCACTTTTGCATCTGCTTCTCCCGAAGCATCCCATAAATGAGGGGAAAATAGCTCCTTGCCCCAGGAAACCAAAACTTGTAATTCCTTTGTGTGACATCCTCATAGGAGCCCCTCTGAAGGGACAAAAACAGCTACTGCCCCCTTTATACAAGAGGTGGTCACAGACACCTGAAACAAAGAATCCTATAATCAGTGCTTGTTACTAGGGCTGTGTGAAGCTTTGGTTGCTGATTTGATTTGGAGGAGATTCAGGCAGAGTTGGTGGCCGAATTTCCAAGTCCAAATCGAATCGGGAGACTGATTAAAAGGTCTGAATCAATTCAGAGATTTGGGCAGTCTCTGCTCGCTGCTGCAAGGAGCTGGACTCAGGCTTTGTGCCGGTAAGTAGGGGGTAGGGGACCATGGGGAGACCCCCAACAGGCCCATCCCCTGCCTGCTCCCCCAGCCCCCCAAACCCCTGCCCGCTCTCCCAGCCCTGTCAGTGGCTGCCCCACCCAGCCCCAGCATCCTGGCACTTAAAAAACCCCACACTCAACGGCTGCTGCAGCAGCCACTGGGGCCTCTGGGGGCTCATGGCAGAGCCCTCCCCATGTCACACAGGGCAGCGGGGATTGCCTCCCTGCCTGGCAGTAGTCGGCTAGTGCGGGGCTTTTTTTTTTTTAAAGTGCTGCGACACTGGGGCCGGGTGGGGCAGCCATTGACGGGACTGGGAGAGCTGGTGGGGGATGAGGCCTGTTTGATTTGGAGATTCAGCCGATTTGGTGGTAGACAAATCTCCGAATCAGATTTGTCCAAATCGCTTTGGGACAGTGATTTGAATCACCAAATTGAATCACTGCCGCCGCCCCCCCGCTTAATCAGCTGAATCCAAAGTGAATACTAGCCGCTTTGCACAGGCCTACTTGTTACCCTTGAATTAATCCTATCAAGTCTACAGAAATCCAGCTCACCTTTCCATTCTTCCATATGCTTTGTGCTTCATTAGTGTTTGCTACAAGCATCTACCCAGTCATCTTCCACCTGGTGTGTGAGCCCTACAGCAAATCATTTGTTCCCCTTGCACAGACTTGGTCTCCTGGTTGCTACTGTAAATTCACAATAGTCCTGGGAAG